CTCTGGAGCGGGGTTCGAGGACACCTGGTCAAGCCACAGTATCAGAATGACAGTGGGGTGTCTGGTCGCCCCCAGGCCACCCCTGCCCCATGATCCCTGGCTGTTGCGGGGCCCTGGGGGCAAGGGGAGGCTCTGGCAGTGGCCCCAGGGTGTGTTCAGTCCTCTGTCCTTGGCCCGGCAGCTACAACAACCAGTGGATGATCGTGGACTACAAGGCGTTCGTCCCCGGCGGGCCCAGCCCTGGGAGCAGGGTGCTCACCATCCTGGAGCAGCTCCCGTGAGTGCCCTGGGGAGGAGGACGGGCGCCACGGCCGGCCGGGGGGCTGCCTCAGCAAGCGGTCGGAGGCCTGCTGAACGAGGGCGGGTGGGAAGGCAGCACCAACTTGGGCTAAAGATTCAGGACGTGATCCACCCCCAGGTGGTGGGGACTTCGGGGTCCTTGAGCAGGGCGGTGCCCACGGGAGTCCCTTTTCTCCCCACTCCTGCCCCGTCTCTCTTCTCCATCCCAGGGGTATGGTGGTGGTGGCCGACAAGACCTCGGAACTCTACCAGAAGACCTACTGGGCCAGCTACAACATACCGTACGTCCCCCGTCTCTGCCCTGGCCCTCGCTCAGCTCTCCTTCCTGGCGGGGGTCCTTCCCCAGGCGACTCTTGACACCCATGGAGCAAAGAAACCCACCCACTCCCTTCCTCGCCAGGAGAGCCCTGGCCATTTGGGGGTGCAGTTGTGGGCTGAGGTCAGCATCCGTGTGGCCTCCTGGTCTGCACCCACAGCGGGGCACAGGGTGGCCAGGCTCAGGAGCTGACTCGGCCATGGCTCCCCAGCTGGATCTGCCTTAAGGGGGCCGCATAGCCGTCACCTCTCGCCGCTCCCTGTGCTTTTCCTGGGTTCTCACTCGATCCTTACAATCATGGTGGGTGGTGGTGGCGGCTCTGTTCCCACTCCACAGATGAGGAAACTGAGGCTCCGAGAGAGTAGAATACCTGACCTTCTCGAGGTCCCACAGCTGGTCACTGGTGAAGTCAGGATCTGAAGCCACTTCTCTTGGACCCCAAAGCCCAAGCGTGGTCACCCTACCAAGCCACCCCCCGCCCAAACAAAAGACACCGCTGTTGCTGTCCCGACGGTCGTGGTTGTTAGTGATCGTGTTCTGGCATGGCAGCCCCTCCACCTCCCTGGCACGGCCGTGGCCAGCTGAGGTCACTGGGGGTTGTGAGTGGCCATCCTTGTCCCCGCAGGTCCTTTGAGACTGTGTTCAACACCAGCGGGCTGCAGGCCCTGGTGGCCCAGTATGGGGACTGGTTCTCCTATGACGGGAGCCCCCGGGCCCAGATATTCCGGCGGAACCAGTCGCTGGTGCGTGACCTGGACTCCATGATCCAGCTTATGAGGTGCGGGGAGCTCTCTGTGCTTGTGGCGCTCACGTAAACCTCCCAGAAGCTGGGGCTCGGCCGGGGTGACGTGTCCACAGCACCCGGTGCTGCAGGGCCCACCGCGGGGCACTCGGCACGTGTCCTGTTGCCATCCTCATGTGACGGGGAGGATGCCCAGCCACTGTTGAATGACCACCCTTCACTGGGCAGGGTGCTTGGGCCAGAGCAACAGGCACCGAGCACGTGCCCGCTGTCCTCAGGGAGCACCCTGCCTCGGGCGAGATCAGAGATCCATCAGGGGCTCACGCTGATGTGCACGTGTAACGAGGACTGTCTGAGTCCCAAGAGATGCTATAAACGGACGACACGGGGTCTCTAGGTGGGCTTGGGATGGGAGCCCAGAGGGTTCCCACAGGCAGGGCTGCCTGAGTGGGATCTGAGGGTGTGTGGAGTGAGCAGGTGAAGGGGGTGGAGGCAGCGGGCGCCTTGAGAGCCGGGGCTGTGTTGGCCGCGGCCGTGGGCAGTGTGGCTCCTTCCTTGGCCTCCCCTTCCCAGCACAGCTGACCTTCCTTCCCTTCCCCCTTTCCCCATCAGGTACAATGACTTCCTGCACGACCCCCTGTCCCTGTGCAAAGAGTGCAGCCCCCAGCCCAACGGAGAGAATGCCATCTCAGCCCGCTCCGACCTCAACCCGGCCAACGGCTCCTACCCCTTCCCGGCCCTGCGCCAGCGCTCCCACGGGGGCATCGATGTGAAGGTGCTGACCCGCCCAGGCGAGGGGGCTGGGGCGTGAAGGCTGGGGTCAAAGCAGAGGGCGGGGCAGCAGTCAGGGTCACAGTTGGGCTGTGGTTGGGCCAGGGGCCCCTGGGTTGGGGCAGGTCGGAGCCCAGCCCAGGCTGGTGCTCAGCAGCCTGCTCTGTCCCTGCCCCCAGGTGACCAGCATGGCGCTGGCCAAGGCCTTCCGCTTTCTGGCGGCCAGTGGCCCCACGTGGGACCAGGTGCCCCCATTCCAGTGGAGCGCCTCGCCCTTCAGTGGACTGCTGCACATGGGCCAGCCCGACCTCTGGAAGTTCTTGCCCATTGAGGTCTGGTGGGACTGAGGCTGCGTCTGCTCTGCTGCCCCTGCCGACCCCGCAGGGCCGCCCGCACCGGCCGCGCCCTGACCTCCTCCCGCCCCTCCGTGGGCTCCGCCCCGCTGTGCCCAGATCTGGGACCTGGGCCTGCCAGGTTCACTGTCTCTGGGCCATCTCCTGGGGGGCGTGGATCCCGGTGGCCCGGGACTGACTCTCTCGCCCGCTACGTGGGTGAGCGCCACCCCTCGCCTCCCTCTGCCTCTCTTTCTCTGTGTTTCTGTCTCTTCTACCCTGGGGCCCCTTCCTCATGCGGCCCCCCTCCTGAGGGCTTGGGAGGGGTCCTGGATCAGGTTCTGGGACCCCCAGTAGGGCAGGAGGGGCCTGTTCTGGTCCCTACTTCCAGCGTCATTCCTGCCTATCACTCTGGAGCGTGTGGGGTCTTTGCCCCCGAGATTTGGGCATTGCCAGCAGTTGGCGTCGCTCCTCCCAGCCCCAGCCCCACTGCTCCCTCGGGAAACAGCCCCCTTGTTTCTCCTGGGCAGCTTCCTTGGGACAGAAACTTGAAAACAAACAAAAACCAAAGTTTCTGGTGACTTGTGGCTAGAGGGGCCTGAGTGTCCTCTCTCCCAGGGTGGGCAGGGGTGACAGCCGCCGTGCTGCAGCCTTGTGCCCCTGCCCCTACCCAGGGCCTGCCCCTGGCCTCAGGCAGGGTCCCCAGCTTCCCTGATGTAGGAACCAGATTGCAGGCTGTGCCACCATTAAACAAGAGAGCCTGTGGCCCCTGTGTGTGGTTCTTGGGGCAGTGGGAGGGCTGGAGCGGCGCCTTTCCCCTCTCAGGTGTGGGTTCTGCGCCATCTATCCCTGCATCCTCCTGTCTGTCCATCTATCCATTCATTCATCTGGCAGCCTATCCCCACATTGTCCATCTGCACAGTCACCCATGCATCCACCCACATCATCCATCCACCCACACATCACCCATCCACCCACACATCACCCATCCACCCACACATCACCCATGCATCCACCCACACATCACCCATCCACCTACACATCACCCATGCATCCACCCATATCACCCGTGCATCCACCCACACATCACCCGTCCACCCACACATCACCCATGCATCCACCCATACATCACCCATCCACCCACCCACATCACCCATCCACCCACACATCACCCATGCATCCACTTACACATCACCCATCTACCCAACCACATCACCCATCCACCTACACATCACCCATGCATCCACCCACACGTCACCCACGCATCACCTATCCATCCACCCACACATCGCCCACCCATCTTCCCATCCATCCATTTTACACCCATCTGTCTATTCATCTCTCATCCATTTGTCCATATCCGTCCGTCCATCCATCCATGTGTTTATAGGTCCTGTTCTAGGGCCCTGTTAACCACCAGGACCTTCCCAGGTCCTACTGTAGGGTACAGATCAATGCAAAACAGCGTCCCTCTGCATCCGATGTTCCCCAGAGCCGCCACAGGAGACAAGACTTGCCCAGTGCTGTGTGCCTGGGGAGAGGAAAGCACACAGCCCTGCAGTCAGAGACCTGGGCTCGAATCCTGCCTCCACCCGAGCTGTGGGACTTGCCCTCTCTGACGCTCTGTTGCCTCTTCTGTAAAATGGGGCGGCGCTGTGAGCAGCACCTCCCTGGCGGGTGGCAAGGGCTTGCTGTGATGGCGGCTGTGACGCACGCAGCCCCGCGGGGCGGCACTCAGCATTCGTTCCTTAGTAAGTATTTGTGGACCGTGTCCTGCACGCCGGGCACTGTTGTCAGGTCGTGGAGACACCTTGTGACAAAAGGAACAAAAGGCCCTGCTCTGGAGACAGTTAACAAGGTGAAGGAACCTAGAGTGTGTAAGGTGCCCGTGGACGCTCTGGAGAAAGTGCACAGCGGCGTCCCCACGGCTGGCGTGGCTCTCAGACTTCACTCTGAACTTGGGGATCCAAAAAAGTGCGCTGGGGCTGCTGTGGGTGGTGTGGGGACGTCCTGAGTGGGGTCCCTCGCCTACTCGCAGGCCTCCAGGCCGCCCGGCAGCTCCTCTGTCTGTTTTGTATGCCGGCTTTAGCACACACTCTCCTCGGAAGAGAGGGTTTCCTGTTTCTGGAGAGTTTGCACGACACTGACTTCAAGTCCACTCTTTCCCTGTCCCGGAGATGGGCGTCGTCAGTGTACACACCCCCAGGGATGGGGGGCTCACTACTCTGCTCCCATGGGTCTGACTGTTATTGGGAAGGACGGTCTGCCTCTTCTGCCTCCCCAGCTGGCTCTCCCATGGAGACAGCCCTTGTCCCACCCCGAGCCCTCTCGTGCAGCGCCACTTCCCTGCCCTGCTCCCCGCCAGGCCAGGATGCCCCGTCCCGGCATACCAGCCCAGCTGGGGTCGGGGTCCCGGCCTCCCTGTGGGCTCCCGAGGAGAGGACGGGGGGCACTTGCTGTTGAGAGCTGGGCCGAGAGCAGACGTGGGGGTGAAGGAGGGGAGGGAGGAAGACAGCAATGATGGAGAAACCGGAGGATCTTCGTTTCATAAATATTTCTCTTTGTCAATGAAAAAGTTTGTACGGTAGAAAAATGAGGAAGGATGGGGTTTCGGGCTTCCTGGGAGGAAGGACGAGGTGGTTCCTCAACCCTGGACCACAGCCCTGTCCACCTTCCCTGGGGGAAAGGCCTGGGGTGGGGACACGTCTCTTCCATCCTGGTCCCTCCCGCCCACGCTGCTCTGGGGCCTGGTACATTGTGTGTGGCGGTTGTCACTCTGTTAAGGACCGTCACAGAGCGGCCACACAGACGGCCAAGAGCTTCAGTTCACAGCTTCACTGGCTGCTGACCGCCAGGCCCCGCCTCCGGGAGCGCTGGCCCCTCGGCACAGCGTCAGAGAGGACAGGAGGGTGACTGGCTGGCCCGGCCACAGGCCCACAAGCGGGCACGAGAATACGGTGTGCAGCGGGGAGCTGGTGAGACTCCGGCCCCTGCAGGGGTCTCCCGGGCAGGGATCGGCACACGGGGAGGCGTCCTCACTGGGGCAGCCCGTCCTTCATGCCCAGCTGCTCCCTCAGCTGGGCCAGGCTGATGTTGCTGCCCCCACAGACGATGACCACGAGCGAGGACAGCGGGGCACGGAGCTTCCCCTCGCCCTGCAGCTTCTGCACCACGTGGCTGTAGACGGCGGCCAGGGCTGCCCCGCAGGCGGCCTCCACCAGGATCTTTTCGTCATCTGCCCGAGGAGGGGGAGGTGAGGGCGGGGCCCGAGTTCCACAGGGTGCAAGGGGACTGTCGGGCCCTGGGTAAAGCGTGGGGTTTATGAGCCAGTCCACTCTTGGCCTGGCCACAGACTCAGGTCCTGGACCAGCCCCATCGTTACCCTAGACGGACCTCCCAACCTGAGCCAGGGCTAGGTTTCATCCTGATGCTAACATTGATAAAATGGTGATAGTCGCCTGAGCACTGTGTTGAGAAGGATTCTGAGGCATCGCCTGAGTAGGAGAGCCGTGGTTGATTAGCCAAACTGACTGCCAGTGCAGGAGAATTAGGTGGCAGCATATCTGCGACCCTGTATGCATGTGTGTGCACGCAGGTGTGTGTGTGCGTGTGTGTGTCTGTTTGCCATCCCTGTCCTAGGCTGAACCTAGAAAGAGTCCCACGTACTTCCAGACCCACCCCTGAGCCCACAGCTGAGGCCCATGCTTTCCTTTTTCACCCTGGCTACCAGGAAGCTCAGAAGCAACCTTTTTAAAATACTCAGTTACTGTCCCCTACTGTCATGGTTATCAAACATCTTCATTTGTGGCTTTGGCCCTCCCATTTTTACCACTGCACTGTATTCTCTTCATTAACGGGAAGTTCTAGGAAGGGACAGGAGACAGAACTGTGAGGGAAGTTTGTGGTGAATGCAATCCTGTGGCCTCAAGTGGACAGCAAATTAGTTCCTGGACCAGTGGGTCAGGTCTTGAAAGGACTTGGCACGTACCCAGGAACTTCTCCACGGCGGCCACTGCCTCCTGGTCCGAGACAACTTCAGAGAAAACGGGGTGTTCCCAAAACAGCTTCAGGGCCTCAGCCGCCACAGTCTTCACACCCAGGGCCTTGGCGACACTGGCAGGGGAGTGATGGAGGAGGGGACAGGAATGGGGGAAACAGAGAGAGGAGGGAGGCAGAGGTCGGGATGGGGGGGAGAGACGGAGACGGGGATGGGTGTGAGAGGGAGGAGGCAACTGGGGCTCCGCAGGCGGGGGCACGGGGCGTACCCTCCGCAGCCGTGAAGCACTGAGAGGTCCCGGGGGCTCCCCGGAGCGAGTGGGGTCCTCTAATGAGGCACAGGTTGCTTCAGTGGGGCAAACGGTGTCATTTTCTGTTCAACATCAGCTCAGGAGCAAGTGCCTGGAAGGCCCCCTTGCGGTCCCCCAGAGGGACTCCCAGCCTTTGCTCCGGGCTGTCACCGCCACCTGCTTCACCCACACTGAGCTTAGCACCGCTCTGCTGGCCCAAGGCCTGCCCGCCCTTCAAGGCTCAGGATTAAGGCCACCTCCTCCCAGGAGTCCTCCAGGGGGAGCACTCAGTCCCGCGGCCCCACGTGGAATTCTCCAACGGTCCTCCCCCTGAACACAAGCATAGCGCTGACTTCTTGAGAAGTACTGGGTGCTGAGCACTTCACAGGTGTCATTTAACTCTCGCAACAGTTCCTGCTGTTAGTTGGTTCGATTTTATAGAAGGAGAAACTGAGGCAGAGAGCACGCAGTGACTTGCCCGAGGTCCCGCGTGGAGGGAGCAGTGGTGCTGTGGCTGCCGGCAGGGTCCTGTGACTAGGACCTGCGTGTGTAACCAGCCTGTTCCATCCCCCACCTCCCCGAGTCATCCCTGGCTGCTCCCATCTCCCCGACTCGCCCATGTGCATCCCGGGGTCTGGACCACCTTAGCCCTTAGCCCAGCGTGTGGCTCAGACTTGGCGCTCAACAATTATTTGTTCAGTCCCAACAGTGTGGGATCAGAGGCCAGCACGGTGGCTCCGGGGCACCGGGCATGGCAATCCAGAAGTTGTTCTTACTCAGACTCAGTGGCCCCTATCTGTGGCAGACATGTCGGCCCCATATCTATTCCAGCTGCACACATGGAGGCCTGGTGGGAAGACATTTCGCAGCCACCCCTGCAGTAGGTGTGGCCATGTGACCAAGTTCTGGCCAATGAGAGGTAAGTGGAAGTATTGTGTCTGTCTTTAAAGGAGGGGCATAGCTTCTGCCCTTGCTTCCACCTTCCTGCCACATGGAGTATGGGTGTGATAGTTGGCACTTAAGCAGCCATTTTGGGCCATAGGCTACATGATGAGGATGATGGGGCAAAAAACTCAAGGAATCTGGGCCGCTGCCTTCAGGGTGCTGCCCTGGGACTGCCTGCCTGCCTCTAGACTTTTTTTAAATTGAGGTATAATTGACATATAACATTATATGGAGTTTCAGGTGTGCAACATAATGATTCACTATTTGTATATATTGTGAAATGATCACCACAATACGTCTAGGTAACTTCTGTCACCTCACATAGTTACAATTTTTTTCTTGCGATGAGAACTTTTAAGATCTATTCTGTTAGCAACTTTCGAATATGCAATACGGTATCATTGACGATAGTCACCAGTCTGTACATTGCAGCCCCAGGGCTTATTTATTTTTTAACTGGGAGTTTGTACCTTTTGACCCCCTTGACTCATTTCGCCCATCGCCCGCCCCCCAGACTTTTTTTTTTTAATATAAAAGAGGAAATGAAGTTCAATCTTGTTTGAGCCACTGTTATTTTGGGCTCCTGTATAATGCGGCCAAACCTGATCCTAATGAAACACCATCAAAGGTGTGGGGCTGGGACATGAGCCCGGGCACTGTGTTTATTCCTCACTGTCCCCCAGGATCAGCCAGCGTCTTGCACAGATTAGGGGCTCGGTAAATGGCTGGCAAATTAATGAGGTGTGGAGCCCTCCCCCAAGGATCAGAATGAATGACTAGTGTTAGACTTTTCATGTGCAGAAGTGTGACGTTCACGGTGCTGAGCCACATAGACTTGGGTTGGGTCCCAGCAGTACCACCCATGGACTGTGACTCTGGGCAGGTGACCGAAGCCTTGGTGTCATCACCTGTGAAATGGTACTGGTGTCGGGACCTGCCCGGCAGCCCCCAGGCTGGCTGACCACCCGACGGGGCCCTCCCTCGGCTGCTCACCTGGTAATCTGGGGCAGGGAGACGAGCTTGCCGGCAGTGGTGGCGGCGTGGAAGCTGTGGGCTCCGAGGGTCTCCATGGCGATGACGGGCACATCCCCCCAGCCCACCTCCTGCAGCCCCTGGACCACTCCGCACAGCAGGCCCCCACCGCCCACCGACAGCGCGATGGCCCCCGGCTTTGTGCTCAGGGTCTCCTTCAGCTCTCTCACGATGGAACGGTGGCCTTCCCTGCAGGGGGTGGGAGGGTGGCAGGTCAGGGTTGGGCTTCTTGGGGACAGCAGGCGGGGCTCCTGGCGGTGCCACTTGCCCTTATCCCAGGCAGCTGACGGGCCTCGGGGCTAGTCCCCTCCTCCCCGACTCCGCCCAGATCTCCAGCTGCCAGCAGCTGCCTCTCCCCCGAGGGCTCTCTCTGCCACCGCAGCTGCCTATGAATGTGACAACCGGCGGTGCCAGCAGACGACAGCCCCCAAGGACACCCCCTGAGAATAGCCCCCAGCCAGTGATGATGAGAATGAAGAGTTGCGGGTGTTGCTGTCTAAACTCCAGCATCCTCTCGCACGGGTGGGATAACTCTGGTTCATGTTCCACACTGGCTCCCAGGGGCCCCCCGAGGGTTTCGGCTCCAGCTGCCCCCAGCAGCCGCCTGCCCAGTTGAGCCTTAGTGGCTTCCTTCCTTCCCCACGCCGCTAACGAATCACCTCCCACGCAAACTGCTTTCTGTGAAATCTTTGTCTCGGGTCTGCTTCCCGGGGGACCCAGTGGCAGATTCCTGTGTCTCTGAGCTTGTGTGTTGGCTCATGGGAGTGTTGGGTGTGGCCACGGCGAATGGGCGTTGGGGCACGTGCGTGTGCGTTTTCTATCTGCTTGTGCGTGTGCTTCTACACGATGCCGTGCACATGCGTGTACAACTGCCGCACATGATGGTGTGCTTTGTGGTAGGTGCCCAGGGGTGGAGGGGTGGCCCCGGGCTCTGCGTACCAGATGAGGGGGTCGTCGAAGGGAGAGATGTAGACCCAGCTGGGGTTGTTCCTCGCCAGGGCCTTGGCCAGCTCGAAGGTGTCATCCAGCATCTGCAAGACCACAGGGGAGGTGGCATGGGGTGAGGCGCCGGAGGACCCTGCCCTGCCACCAGGTGCCCTCTGTGGCCCCCGCCCCGGTCAGCACTCACCTCACCCGCCACCTTGACCATGGCACCCTCATTCTTGAGCCGCTCGATGGTGACGGCAGGGGTGGTGCTGGGCACAATGATGGTGGCGGGAACGCCCAGCTTCCTGGCGGCGTAGGCAGCTGCCATGCCTGCGTTGCCCGCTGCCAGGGGTAGGGGGTGGAGAGAGCGTCAGTGTGGGAGGAACCGGGAGCCTGGCTGGGACCATTCAACCCAACCTCAGGGCTCTGAACTCCCCTGGGTGACCGCCGGCCTCCCCCTGGAATCCAAGTTGGGACTGCTATAGATGTTTGCCACAGCTCATTGCTGGGGAAACCAGGGCCCAGAGAGGTGGAGCACTTGGCCCCGGGACACACAGCAGAGGACAGGAAGAGGCATGCAGGCCACCTACCCGAGCAGCAGATGAAATGTTTACAGCCTCGCTCAGCCCACTGTGGAGGTAAGTGGGGAGGGGTCAGGCCCACCTCAAAGTCTGTCCCAGGGCTTTCCCCTCCCACCTGGAATACCTCCTACTGTTTCCAAGTTATGCTGACCTCTCCTTCCTGCACACAGAATTGTACTGCCCTGGCCTCTGACATCCTCCCTCCCCGAAGAGGCTGGTTCAGGGACGGGTGAGGGAGAGGCCGGCACCTGGTGGCTCTGGGGTCAGCCCAGGAGGGGACCTCACGGACGGGCACCCCTCAACCCGAGGAGGTGCTAATGGTGGATGCTCAGGCATTGTGGGGAGTTAGAGGCCCAGCCTGGAAGCCCGAGACTTCACGCAGCACTCGCCCTGCCCTGTCAAGGAGAGAGGACCTGGCGCCCCCGCCCTGCTGACGGAGCCCGTCCTGTACCGTCCTGCAGAGGTGCCCGATGCCCCGGATCTTGAAGGAGCCGGACGGCTGGGCGCTGTCCATCTTGAGGTAGACCCTGGTGCCGGCCACTTTGGACAGGGACGGGCTGTCCCGGACCGGGGTCTGCACGTGCAGGGGCTCTGTGGACGTCATTGCTGGAGGAAGGAAGGAAACCCGGAGGGTTGGAGGGTGGCCCTGGTGCCAGCGCAGCCTCTCGGTGTGGCTGTGAGTGACCCTGTTCCTTCCCTTCCCAGGAGGCTGGGACAGGGCCCGGATCACAATGTCCTGGAGACGGGGTCAAATCTCAACTCGGCCTCCTCCTCACCGGGTGACATCAGACAAGTCATCTCCCCAGGGCCTCAGCTGCCTCATCTGTAAAATGGGGATAAGGACCCCCCCAACACCCACCCTGCTGGGAGGCTCGACCCTCAGCAAGAACACTCAGACCCCACAGCTTTGGAGGGGCGTGGGGGGGAGGGCGGTGCAGGTGCTGACTCAGAAGGAATGGCAGGATGGCTCAGTGGGTAAAGCAGGGGCGGGACATCAGGTCTGGGCTATGTGTGCGAAAAATGTGGACACACACAGTTCACTTGCTTCCACGTGCATGGAGCATCCCAGGACACACACGCGAGGAACTAGTCCGGGCGGGGCCTCTGGGGAGAGCGGGCGCTCCGAGTTCCCTTTTGTGCTGTTCGATTGGCCGCGGGCACATATTCCTTATTTAAATATGTGTGTATTTTAAAACAAACTTTTGGAAAGCCCTGTTCCCTGTTTTAAATTATTTTATTTATATTTATTATTTTATTATTATTTATTATTATCCAGCTTCTTCTTCTTATCATGTTTTAATAATAATCACTATAGTACTTAATGATCACTTATAAAGTGATCACCATGTGCCAGGCACTGTTTTCAGTTTGGCAGATATTAATTCATTGCATCCTTTGGACAACCCTAGAGATGCCGCTACCGCCCCATTCTTCTGATCAGGAGACAGGCTCCCATCATGTTTTCCAGGATGGCTACATAACCTCCTCCCATCCCACAGGCACCGCTTTCGAGGCGCCACTGACGAGCTCTCTGCGGGAGGAGGGGTCTATGTGTCCTCCCCTGGCCCCCGGGGGGCCTGTGGCTGCAATGGAGGTGACGGTGTGACGTCCGAGCAGTGGTGTGCTGGTGAATGGTTAACAAGGGGATCTCTGAAGGAAAGCGAGGCCCCGACTGCAGGGCGTGCCCTTCCGTGACGCACGTCCCTCGCCGAGGCCAACATGATGCAATGAACACGGACAGGCACAATCCACTCCCAGAGCCAGTGTAAGCCAGCTCCAGGGCCCCACCGCCCCCAGGCGGGGTCACAGAGGCCACACAGCCTGGCCATCTCTCCGGGAAGCTCCCTCTCAAGGCGCAGCCACCGAGATGGGAGTAAGCCCAGGCCACGTGCGGAGGCCACATATGGGCGTCCCAGTGACCACTGATGGCCAATGTCAACTGCCAGATAGGGGACACCACTTTGAGATGGCTCCAGCCCAGCCCCCGTCACACTGCAACCATATGAGAGCCCAGTGGGGGCTGCCTGGCTGAGCCCAGAACCACGACAGGTAACAGCGTGATGATGGCTGTCATTTGAAGCCGCTACATCTTGCAGTAGTTTGTCACCCAGCGATGGGGACTGGAACATTAATGTGCCTTGCCCAAGATCACACAGCGGGGGGTTGGGGGGGGGCAGGATCTGAACCCAGCAGTCCGGTTCCAGGGCCGAGGCTCCCTCTAGGACACGTGGGGGTGGCTCAGGCCCCCTGGGAGACGGAGAAGTTGAGGTGGCCCAGCCTTTCCATCTTGTCCTCTCTCCTGCTGAGAATCATGGGGGAGGCTGATGCCCCCCGACTTGGGCTGAGCCAGAATTGATCAGCGGGTAGTTGGGTGAGCGGCCTCTCTGGTCCCCCCCCCGCCCTGTACCATCCCGGAAGGCCAAGCCCCCACCGCGTTTCCAGTGACACTGTCTGGTCCAGCCCCCTGCCCTGGCCCTCCTGGCTCAGGCATCGCCTCTCCCAGATTGGGCCAGATATGCCTGGGTCAGAAGGAAAGTAGGCGGTGGGATTCCTGACACCCCCCGGCCTTAGAACCCCCCAAATGTTGGTATCCCATGTCTGTCCAAATTAACCGACATTCAGGGCCTGGGAGGGGGCCCAGACAGACACCGCCTCCCCTCTAGATCTTGTGAATGAAAGCTAGAGACTGGAGGCACTCCACAAGGGGCTTCCCCCATCGGTCTGAATAGCTCTCAGCTCCTGGGGGCTTTCCCCAAGCCATGGCCTCCCCCCCAGCCACCCCCCCACCCCCTGTTCTGGCGGACTGGACCTTAAAGCCCTGGGTCTTGTGAAGTCACCAAGCCCTGGCCTCAGGGATCTCTCCCGGTTGGAGGTGGGAAGTGTCAACCACGAAGACCCCTTACCGCTGGTTTGGGAAGCCCCTCCCACCACCTGCCTCTGTTGCAGCATCAGATGCCTTCAGTGAGGCAACAGGGACCCCTCGCGGGCATCACCCCTCGCCCTGTGTGAAGCCAGCACCTGTAAACTGCCCCCACCCCATTCCCACCCTGCTACTCTCGCCCCTGAAGGGGAGACTTCAGAAAGGGACGCTAGCCAGGCGCCCCACCGTCAGAAGTCACTCCCCTCTCACTCGGCTCACAGTCAGAGCTCAGTAAAAACGAAATATGATGACTTCTGGACCGGACACTTTAAATGCACTATCTCATTTCACCCTCACAGAAACCTTATGAGGAAGGTCCTATGACCGTCCCCATTTTATAGATGAGGAAACTGAGGCACAGAGCTGGATGTGAACCCAGGCAGTCTGGCTCCAAAGCATGGGTTTTTATGCCCAACAGACTCTTTCTACCTGCCCTTCTTCCCCTGGGAAGCCCCGGCTGGCGCAGGCACTCCGGTCCTGGGGTGGGGCTGAGGATGGGGCCGCTCACCTGGCAAAGCGATGGAGCGGGGCGCTGGGTAGAGCGAGTAAGCCAAGGAGGGATGACTGGAGATGGTCCAGATGGATAGACTGGGCAGATGGCCCATGGACAGATGGAGGGTAGGTGGACAGGTGGACTGTCTTCTGAACTGTCCCAGGGGCTGCCCATCCGGGCTTTATTCAGCGGGTGCCTCCGCGCAGCCAATGGGGCCCCAGGGCTGGCCCCGCCCCCGCCAGGCCCCGCCCCCTGGCCTGAAGCCGCTGGGGGCTTCCAGGAGGGGGCAGGGAGGCTGGCTGTGCATTTCCCTCCGGCAGCTTCCTCCCATCTCTCCCTCCCTCTCCTCTCCGCATGGCCACTTCCTCTTCCCGGTCCTCAGCTTCCTTACTTGCGAATGGGGCCCATACCTACTTCCCAAGGGCTGTGAGGAGCTTACAGGAGGAGGGCCAGGAGAAGGCACTTAAAGTCGTCAGCATGGCACATAGTAGGCACCCAAGGAACAAACCCCAGGAGGAAGTGGGTACTATCATTATCCCCATCTTACAGAAGGGGAAACTGAGGCACACAGCTAGTGAGAGGGATGAGCCGACACTTGAATCCAGCAGTTGGACTCCCAAACCTGCAATCCGAACGCAGTTCCTTATTGCCTTCCCCTGTCATCTTTTAGGACTCTTTTGTCATAAAGCAGCAGATGGGTAAGACCTAGGCGGGTCAGGGTTCAAATCCCCGCTCTGCCATTTACTAGCTATGGCCCTGGGCAAGTCACATGGTCTCCTGGAGCCTCTCTTTGCTCATCTGTAAAATGGGAATGGGAATGGGAATGGTCCCTCCCTCCTAGGATTAGGTGACACGATGATGGATGTATGTAAGGGACCGGAAACTGAGAGAGTGCTCAGTGTCAGCAGCCATCCCCACCAGCCTCATCATCACCATCTTCTTTGTCATCACAGAACCGGAACTCACTCCTGGCCCCATGCCAAGCGTCTTGTCTGTCCCTGGCCGTGTGCAGGGGTCTGTACATCCACCGGGGTGGTGCACACAGACACAGGCACACAAACACACACACAGGCCCGGCCGGCTCTCTCCCGGGGTCCCCTCAACAAAGCCCTCTTGTCTGGCTGGCCGGGACGAGAATGTTGATGAGAGAGAGGGCAGTGAGGGCACCAACAGGCGCACAGCCCCCTCTCCGTGGGACAAGCTGTCCTCTCTTGGAGGCCCCGTCTGACTGTCGCAGGCTCTCCCGAGCCCCCTCCCCAGTGGGACGTCTGCGGTGGGCACTGAGGATACAGGATGGCAGAGCCGAAGTGCTGTGGGCATCCTGCAGCTCACGTGGAGACCCAGCCTCCCTGTGTGCATACAGCCGGCACTCTCGGTGCCCCAGCATCTGCTTGGCCTGATCCCAAGCCAACTGTTTCCCCTGTGGGGTTCTCCTTAACCCTCACACAACCAGGGGGACGGGCATGGTGGGTCCCAGGTCCCAGGCGAGGCCGGGCTTGGAGGTGGAGTGAGATGGCCCAAGGTCACCCGGGGGGCGGCGGTGGGATGCCAATTCGGGATTCTGAATCCTTTGTGGACACTGGGCGGATGGAGAGGGCGGAGGTGGGGCTGGGGAGGCACAGCTGGCCCAGCCTGGTCACATTCAGAGGTCCCCGATTTAGGCTTTTGGCACTGTCTCTGCCTGAGGTTATCCACGCAGTCGGGGCAATGGGGCCGAAGGGTGGCAGCCATCTCACAATGCCGAGTGGACCTCTGCCCCGGCGGCTGGACACGGGCAGCCGTGAGCGGCGGGAACCAGGTGATCAATTCCTTCTTTAGGCCTCTCTGTGTGGTTCCGTTTGTTTCAACAGGAATGTATCACTGTTGTGATTTGAAAAACACCAGATCAAGAAAATCAATCATACGAGAACCAAAAAGAGAGAAAAAGACAAAATATCCATCACTGTTGTTGACATCCTGTCTGGGCGCATCTTTTCTTAAATAATCACTTTATGGAGACGTGATTCCCAGGCCACGCAGTCCACCCGTTTACAGAGCGCCAGCCTGAGAGCACCTCAGGTGTGGGTGCTGCCTGCCTTTTGGTGTCTGAATAGTCTTCTGGTGTATGGACCGAGCGCGTTTTTATTATCCACTCGGAAGTTGGTGAACTTTGCTGTCTGGGCATATCTTCATTTCTAAATATAGACGAAATATGGGCACGTGTGGGTGCACATGGGGTTCTGTGTCCCGTCACATGGATGGGACCCGAGACCCTAGGAGGGCGGGGGGCTCACTCCAGGTCGCCCTGGGGCACAAGTGGAGCAGAGGCAGGTGGAGTGCGGTGTGATGGGGACGTTCTGACTAGTCAGCAGCTGGAGGGTCTCGGAGTGTGGCTGGCCATGGTCGCTGTGTTGACCTTGGGGGGGATCAGTCCCGTGCAGGAGGGCGGGGTCAGAGCCGGCCCCCAGGAGGAGGGCGGGAGTCTGGCTGGGAACCTTGGGCAAGTCCCCTCCCTCAGCCCTGCCTTCCAGCTCCATTAGGTGACAGCCTCCTGGGAGCATCCATGAGGACGGCCAGATCAGCGTGTCCTTGGCTGCGGGAGGCGGGGGTCTGACGGTTGTTTTCACAGCTCGGGGAAGCACGGACTGCTCTCGCCCCTGCTTGTCCTCCCTGGCTGGTCAGCCAGTCCCGGTGTCTCTGAATTAGTCAAGGTCTCTGGCTCCTGAGTCCCCTAGAGCTGGGCTGAAACTGACTGACGCCCGGCTGTGTGACCTTGGGGTGGCTGCCTAACTTCCCTTAGCCTGCTTTCTGCCCTGAGAAATAAGGACGATAAGGGTGACATTCACAGGGCGTCACAAGACTTAGAGACAATGGCAGTCTAGTGCCAGGCACGGAGTAAGGGCTCAAAGAATAGTAGCTGCTATTATGATTATCTTTGGTCTTGTTATTATTATTATTAATTGAGACTTTCCTTCTGGTCTTGTTTTCCTGAGTCTCCCCTCTAGGCCTGGCTCCCTGTTCATGTTTCTTCCTTGTCGAGTCTGGGCTGGAGCCTCTTTGGGATTCTGCAGCCTGGTAGCCCCTGAGTCTCTCCCCAGGAGGCCACGAACAGCCTGACGGCAGGTCTGTACTGACCATTCCCCCTTGGATTTCCTGCTCTCCCCTCCACCCGCTGAACAACCTGTAGTGCACAGGACAGCCCTCCACAACAAAGAATTGTCTGGCCCCAAAAGTAAGTAGTGCTGAGGCGGAGCAACTCTGCGTAAGGGTAATAGGGAATGAGACTAAAACCTCCCTCCTTCTATATTCTCTACTTCTATTAATATGACCAGATGAAATTAATTAATCCCATGTGGGTGAAAGTTGCTTTATCCAAAAAGCTACTGTTCTATATCCAGCTGCTACTCATTCAACCCCTAGAGAAGTTAAAAGATTTTTTTTCTTGGTAAAATTAATCCAATCCAATCAGGTCTCCTTTGTTTTGAATTTAATGCTTTTGACCTCTGTGGCCCTTGCTGTAGGACTTGGTGCCTAGCCCTCTTCATTTTCATTCACCGGCTTCAGTTCATCATTCAGTTTGGTGGTGAATTTGTGGCACCCTCCGTGGGCTGTTTCACGGTGCTGTCTGAAGTGAGACCTCCTGGCTTTCTGTCTCTGTCTCTCTCTGTCTCTGTCTTTGTATCTCTGTGTCTCTGTCTCTCTCTGTGTCTCTGTCTCTGTCTTTGTGTCTCTGTCCCTGTCTCTCTCTGTGTGTCTGTCTCTCTCTGTGTGTCTGTCTCTCTCTGTGTGTCTGTCTCTGTCTTTGTGTCCCTGTGTCTCTGTCTCTCTCTGTGTCTCTGTCTCTCCCCCCCGGGGGGAGGCTGTGAGGGGCAGGGAGTGACGAGCTCACATTCTCAAAATGTTCTTCCTTCTCCCCTGCGCCTCACCTCTGCGTTTCCCCGGATCACGGAAGCAAGGAACTGTGGCAAAAGGGGGCAAGTTGTTACCGCCAATCCAGGACGGCTCATGCTTGCTGCCCCTTCTTTCTCGAATGACTGCAGCCCACTTTCTCTTCCAGCTTTCTCTCTGTCACCTGCTCGCTCCTCAGCGTCCGTGTCCAAGAAGGGGGCCTGTTTCTCTGTCCCTTTCGAAGCATGGGCCTTTCGTCAGTTGAGCTCGCTTCTAACGAGGATGAAGACGGCCTCATCGTTGGAGCGCTCTCTGAGCACAATCGTCCTGCGGAGCGGAGGCCTCTGGCGGGAGGCCCTGTTATTCCCACTACTTCCGCGGGTTTCCGCGCAGCGACTTATCTTAGAAACGTTTTGGATGTACAGCCAGGAAACCTACTGCACAGGGAGTCCAGAGAGTTCCCACATACCCCACCCCTAGACCCCCTGTGATTAACAACTTACATTAATATGGTGCCTTGGTCACAATTATTGAATTGAGATCGACACATTGTTATTAATGAAGTCCATACTTTTTTCAGATTTCCTTAGTTTTTCCCTGATGCCCTTTTTCTTTCTTTCCTCTTTTTTTGTGAGGAAGATTGGCCCTGAGCTAACATCGTGCCCATCTTTCTCTATTTTGTGTGGGACACTGCCACAGCATGGCTTGACCAATGGTGCTAGGTCTGGGCCCAGGATCTGAACCTGCGAACCCCAGGCCACCCAAGTGGAACACGTGAACTTAACCACTACGTCATCAGGCTGGCCCCCCTGATGCCCTTTTTCTGTTCCAGAATCCCAACTCGGACACCACATGACGTTTAGTTGTCCCCTTAGGTTCCCCTTGGCTGTGACGGTTTCTCAGACTCCCCTGCTTTCGATGACTGGGCGGATCTGAACAGGACTGGCTGTGGGTATGTGTTTTCTCCTCGTGGGCAGACTAGGGTTATAGGACTTGGGAAGGAAGACATGAGGGCCCAGGGCTGTTCTCGTCCCCTCACATCGAGGCCACATCAGGCACCAACACGACCTCGCCCCATCGACGCTGGCCTCGACCGCCTGGCCCAGGGAGCGTGTGCAGCTGTCTCCACTGCCAAGTTCCTCTTTTTTCCTGGGTATGGGGTTTTTCTAAGGTGCGGCCATCTGTACACGACACGGATTCATTGCTGATTTTGGGTACTTACTGTCCCAGTTTCGTATTTGTCCTTCTGTCTGCACGTCACTCGGATCTGTCCGTCTCGGGTGGGAAATGATTACACAAAGCCGAAGGGTTTACTGACACCGTCCCCGATGACAATGACCCCTCTCACGTTGGGGCCACACTGTCTCCTAGACAGATTCTCCGGACCCGTGCGGTCCAGTGCAGTAGCCCCTGGCCGCCTGCCGCCATTTAAATTTAAATCCGTCCAAATTAAATAAAATGTGCAATTCCGTTCCTCAGTCTCACGGCCACATTCCAGGGGCTCGGGAGCCACAGGTGGTGAGCGGCTACTGTGGACGGAGCAGACGGTGGGACGTCTCCGGCGTCACGTTTTCATTATGACCCCTGCCCCCTTGTCCTCACCTCCGCCGATGCTCCGGGATAACCTGTGTTGTCAGCGCTGCTCTCCACGAGCCCGCGGGCCTGGACACAATCTTAGACTGCCACGTCGCACACTTTCGCCTGTTGTTCTTTGTAAAAAAAAGTCATAACACTGTAAATATATATATTTCTGCTGTTCTAAACAACACTCTAATAACAGCTCTCACACCCATATCCCTACCTTCTGCTTTTTTTTTTTTTAAGAGAATAAATCTCCTAAATTACGATTTCTTGCTCAGAAGTCTGGGTTTTGATCCAGTTGTAATAGACATTGACAGATCTATTCCCCCAGAGGCCGTAGCCATCCCTGATCACGCCAGCAACCGATGAGTTCGCCTATTTTTTGTCACTCTCACCAGCCCTGGCTGTTATGTTTTGCTTTTAAATTTTTTTGCCAAACTTAATAGTTTTTAAAAACTGGCATTTTATTGTTACTCTAATTTCACTTTCTGGTGCTCATCTCTAATGCTGTGTTGCATCTGTTTACTGACATTTCGATTGTAAGCCCCTTGAGGGCCGGCAATGCATCTTATTTGTCTCCATCTCTCCTTTCGTAGGGCCTAATTTGGGGTAATGTTTGCTGACTGCATAAGCAAATTGGCTTAATTCTGAAAACCTGGACCAGAATTTTCCTCGGCCTTGAAGACAGATGCTAAACTGTCCCTTTTTTTCCTCTGGGCCTCAGTTTCCCCATCCACAAAAAGGATGGATTAGATGGCCCTTGCAGATTCTTTCGGCTCAGACATCATGGCTATGAATTTGTAAGTCTCTCAGGACAAGAGCGTCCAGGTTGGATGTGGGGTCCGTCGAAGACTGGCCCTGAGGCCTATTTGCTGGGCAACCCACGGCAAGTTGCTTAACCTTTCTGTGCCTCAGATCCCCCTTGAGAACTGACTCGTTTCCTTTTCAGGGACAAGAGGAGAGAGGGATAGCTCCTCTGTGCAAGGGTCTCAAGCTCCAATATCTACAGGGGCCAGGCAGGGGCCTGTTGAGTGTCGGGGCTGCGACAGGGAGTGGGGGGCAGTGGCAGATGAAGAGCCAGGCCTCCCTACAGAGGACAGAGCGACTCCGCCCCAGCCAGCAGAAATGCGGCCCCCGAGTGTGAGAGCCTGTCTGCTCTGGGAGGACCCGTCGTCTTGGCAGGAGTTGAAGAGTCTGAGAGCTCAGCTGAGCTGCCGCAGGTATTGGGTGTCAGAAAACCGGGGTCCAGATGCCGGGGGCTGACTCCCCCGTGGGGCCGCGAGCTGACTGCCGAGCCCCAGTCCTTTCACCGATTAGTGGAACTGAGCCTGCGGGGCTTAGAAAGCGTGCGACACGGAATACAGGGTTAAACCTGCAAATCCGGAGGGCCAGTCGCCCGTGTCCCGGGCCCCGTCCGTCCTCTCTACGCAGTTCCCTCGCCCCGGGATCAAGAAGGCCAGCTGGGGGCGAGGATGGTGAAACGAAGCTTAATGAGTAACCCTGGGGACCGGCCAGGTGGGTGTTTGGTGACCTGAGGTGTCAGGGACAGGGGGTGGCTGACGAAGGTGGCTGTGGGAGGGGACAGTCAGTGACTTGGCCTGCCTCTCCGGCCTCATCCGCTCTCTGATGCAGCCACCTTGGGCCTCCCTACCCCATCCTCTTCCTAGCCAGGAGCTCTGGAGCCCGGCTCTTCTGGGTCTGAGCCCTGCCTCTGCCACTGCTGTGTGACCTTGGGAAAGTGACTTGGCCTTTCTGAGCCAAGCGTGATTCCACAATCTAGGGTTCCCACTGCCCTGGGGTGTGGTAAACATTCTGTGGTATAATGACGTCATGTTCCCAGACTTTGGACATTCACGTGTCACCTTTGCAACTTTTGCCATATTGTTGTGTCACCTCTATTTTTTTTTACTGAGCTCTATTGACATATCACATTGTCTTCATTTTAGGTGTACAACTTGTCACCTCTCTTATGACAGTAATGATAACAACAGCAGCAGCAGCGAACACACAGCACTTGGTACTGTTCTAGATATTTTGCGTATATTCACTCATCTGAGCCTTTCATCAACTCCCGTAGGGAGCTGGTATTTCATACCCATCTTCAGTTGAAGAAACAAGGCACAGAGAGGTGAAGTAACTAACCCAAGGTTACACAGCCAGTCGGTGACACAGCTGGTGTTTGTACCGGAGCCTGGCTCCAGGGTCTGTGTTCTAACCATTAGGCATACTGCCTTTTCAGACCGGAAACCACAATTACTGCTACTAGTTAATATTTTTTTAAAACAGGCTCCACTTTTAAACCTCTGTACCTGACTTAACTTCCTCCTAAGCAATCATATCCATGAAATTACGGGTTTGATGTTATATGCATAATATACAGTCGTGTTCCTTAACGATGGGACATTTTCTGAGAAATGTTCCGATAGGCGATTTCGTCGTGTGTGGACATCACAGAGCGTACTCACACAGACCTAGATGGCATGGCCTACTACACAGCTGGGCTATATGGGACTCATCTTAGGGGACCAGCGTCGTATATGCGGTCCGTCATTGACTGAAATGTCGCTACGTGGCACACGACTGTCCCTATGTCCAAATGCACACAGAAGTAAATGCCCAACTATGGAAAAACCTTTAAGGTATGCTGACCAACACAAGAGGGCTGGCATGCAGTAGGCACGCAATAAATGCAGCTGTCATGTTTCTCTTCCAAGCCTGAGGTAAGCGCTAAGGCCCCACTCCTCCAGGAAGCCCTCCGTGATCCCTTCCCACCCCCAGCTGCACTTGGGGACCTTCTGCTCTCTGTCCTCCCAGGCGGTGTTAGCGTTGTCGCTGAACTGGGTGTCTTCCTCTCCCCTCCAGGCCAGGGGCCACCTCGGGGCATGAATTGGGTTTTACCACCTCTTGTCCCCAGCAGCCAGTCCAGGACAGGACAGCTGACAAGGCCGGGTGCACGTGCAATGAGAGGAGGGGGATGAAGTTGCCAGAGTCCTCATCTAGGATCGCGGCCAAACAGCTCGACTTGATCCCGTGCGGCCGGGAGTTAATCATCAAACTTGGGGAGGTCATATAGAGCCCAAGGAGGGCACAGACCATCTGGGCTGCCAGATGCTTTCTGGACCTCACCTCCCATTCTCCATACAGGGAAACTGAGGCCCAGTGATGGGTGGGACTAGCTCAGGTTCACCCAGCGAGATGGTGACAGAGGCAAGACGTAAATCTGATCACATCATCATTCCACTGCCTACAGCCTTCCATGGCTCCCTACTGCCCCCGGGAGAGGTCCAGACTCTGAATTGGCACGGGCACCCCTGTGGACTCTCTTCTTGCCCGCCTTGCCAGCCCTGAACCCACCTGCTGCCTCAGCGTGCCTCCTCTGTTCCAGTCCCACTGGACACTGCCGTCCTGCCACACACCACGCTTTTCGCTTCCTGACCTTCGCCATCCGCGTTCCTGGTTCCTGGCTCAGCTCAGTCTTACCCTCTTCCGGGAAGCCTTCCTACCTGCTCTGGCCGCCCACAGCCCTGCCTGCCTCCGCTGCCAGCCTCTGACGGCACGGATTCCAACTGCTCCTCCACGGCTCCTTGGGGCTTTCTGAGGCGGGGGACATGCTGTCTTCTTTGAAGCTGAGGTCCCCAGGGCTTGACACATAGTAGTTGTCCAATAAACGTTCGTTGAATGAATGAATGAATGATCAGAGTCGTGCATGTGAACCGTACATAACTGTTTGGGTTCCCAAGTTGGGTGTAAGATATCAGAGATGAGGCGCTGCTTCAGAAAATAGGCCTTTCTCACGTGACGGATAACAACTGTTTCCTTGTCCTTTTTTTCTCGTCTCAGACCTAAGCCGACCCTGACAGTGGTCCAGGGCACGTGGCTGGGCATTCAGGACAAGCAGCGGGCTGGAATAAGAAGACTTGGAGATGTTGGTGTCACGGAAGAGATGGTCCGAGGTGAGGGGTAAAGAGTGTCTCTCGCTGGCTGGGTGGCCTCAGCCAAGGGAGTGCCCCTCTCTGAGCCTCCGTTTCTTCATCTGTCAGGCGGGATGGGATAGTGGACAGAGCACGGAGAGGCAGTGAAAGCTGCTCCCGGGTCCCTCCTCCAGCCGGGAGCTGTCCCTTTAACACGGTGGGAGGGGCCGAGGCCCCGTGAGGCCACGGGAAGCCGGGTGGCTGGTGGCCACAGGCTGGGGCCAAGCTGGTCTGGGGACAGTGGGGCAGGAAGGTAAGGGGCCTGGGGCTCTGTGTGCATGTGCGACTGTGAGTGTGGGGAAGTCTGGAAGTTTCCAGGGCAAAGTCCCAGCTGAGTGCGCGAAAGTGAGAGGAGGGGAGGGTGGCCTGAGCCCTCCCAGGAAGACTGATTCCGCTCCCGCTGCCCCGCGGCCCAGGCTGCCCCGAGGAGAGCGCCGGGTGCAGGGGCCGAGGGTGGGGGGCAGGTCCTGCTGGCCGGGGCGGCAGGGCTGGGGGGCTGCCAGCGGGGGGCCGGCCAAGGTCTCCCAACTCTGCGTAGGGGTTTGGCTGTGAGTGTCAGCCAGGTGGCCTCTGGAAAAGCCCGAGGGACCAGGGCGGTGGGGCGAGTGGAGGTGATTACCCCAGTCCACAGATGCGACAGGTACAGCCCGGTGAGGAACGGGGGCTCGGCTGCGGTTGTACTTGCTGGGCCCTGAACCACGCCGTGGGCTCCCCGCTGCACTGCTCCTCAGCAGACAGGGCCCAGGGCACCCCCTCGGCCCCAGCGGCTGCCACATGCGGGGACAGCTACACGTCCCCAGGCCGCGGGCTCAGCTTGGCCCAGACCTCAGTCTGGAAGGCCTGTGCCCTTATGGGCGTCTGGACCCAGAAGGCTGTTGGTGACCTGGGGCTTCTTCATTTAACTGATACCTGCCGCCCTCTTGCGGGTGGTCAGGATAACCAAGAGGGCTGGGGGAGCCGGGAGACTGAGCCGGCAGCATTTGGCTCCTCAGGCCAACTGGCAATTAAGTATTAAATGCTCACACCTTTAATCATCATCATCATCATCATAATATTGCTAATATAATAGAGGAAGTATGGCATGGTGGTTAAGAGCACAAATGCCAAAGAACACTGCCTGAGTTTGGATCCTGGCCGCGCCATTTCCAGCTGTGTGACTTTGGACAAGTTCCTTAACCTCTCTGGGCCTCAGTTCCATGTCTATAAAATGGAATTAATAATTGAACCTATCTCAGGATTGTTGTAAGGATTATATGAGATAACATATAAGGTGATTGGCACAGTGCCTGGCTTGCAAGTCCCACCCAACTATTAGCTGTTATCATAATGCCAGGCCCAGAGTTGACGCCTTTGCTGGATGGTCTCAATCCTCAGCACGGGCCTGTGATGCGCAAGCTCTTCGCCCCGTTTGCCGTATGGTTAGTTCATTTTCCTTTTTCAGGTCTCAGTTGCAATGGTCACCTCTTCCCAAAGGCCTTTTCTGACCTCTCTACCCAAAGTGGGTCCCCTTGTTCTATTCAAGACTCCCCATATGCATATTTCCTTCTGAGCAGTTTTCACCATTTCCAATTATTTTGTCTGTCTATACAGTTGTTTGTGGAACGCTGATGTCCCCATCAGACTGTAAACCAGCTCCAAGAGCAGATGTCTGTCTTGTGGCATCCCCAGTTCCCAGGCCAGGGCTGTCCCCTCTCAGTGTCCTACAAACTTGCCAGAGTGAGGGGAGCACGCCAGCAGTTAGAAGGCCCCGGTGACAGAGCACCTGCAGGGGGTCGGCTGATGTCTGGCGCACAGTAGGGACTCAGCAGGGGGCAGCGTAGGGGCGGAAACATGCTCCCCTCTCCCCTCTGGGCTCTGCGGCTGGTCTGGTAATTAAGCTGATCTGACAGACTAACAGGAGAGAGGCAGAGTTGATTGCGTGCACACGGGAGCCCATAAAGATATGCGGACTCAAAGGGCAGGCCGGCGACTGAGGCTCGGGCCCGTCCTGAGCTGGGAGAGGGGCAGGCTCTGGGCACGGGGGGAGGGGGGCGCCTCACAGGCAGGCAGGCGGGAGGCTTGGAAAGCAAAGGTTTCCCTGCCCAGCAGATCTGTTTCCCGGCTAAAGAGGTCAGTCCAACAGCCGCTCTCGTCCGGGTCCAGGCCCCCTTCCAACATGCATTTGGGCAGCTGAGACGGAGTAAAGAGCATTCCTGAGTCTGCTGGGTTCTGACTGCCTTTAGCTCAAACTAACCTGGATGCCAAACAGACATGTTTTGGAGTGGCAAAATCTGCTCCCCTTCAGTAGCTATTATGATGATGATGATGATGATGATGATGAAGAATCTGCACCATAATCTGTGAGGCCAGGACTGTTACTCCCATTTTATAGGAAGGCAAACAGGCACAGAGAGGTTGAGACACCTGTCTTGGTCACACAGCCGGGAATTCTGAGCCGGTTTCTGACTTTGGTCCCCTGCTGACCCCGGAGCTCACACTCTGGGGCTCCACGATACAGGCGACAGGGGTTGGGGGGGGGCCTCCCGCCGCTCCCTCAATGCCATGACCAGCTCCAAAAGTGCCCTTGATGGCACCAGGTGGAGGTGGCTCAGGCTTTGCCCTGCCTGGGGACTCAAAGGGCCATGCCGACAAGGACACAGGTCAAATCCAGGAGCTGGAACCTTCTGATGGGGACCCAGCCCTGAGCAGGTGCAGACGACACCGGCTCGTGGTGCGTGGGGAGCTGCAGCGCTCCCCCTAGTGTCAAGTGGTGGAACTGTGGGGGGGGCGGCCCAACCCTTCTCGGCGCAGAGAAGGAAAGCGGCTTCATTTGCTCCTTTCTTCCTCTCTCCGCTTCTCCTCCCTTCTCACTTCCTCCCTCTCTCCTCTTCTCCTCGCCTTACCCACGGGTGCATTCATTCGCTCGCTCGCTCCCTCCCCCGCGCCTGGCTGGAAACCTCCCACTGCAAGTGGGATTAGGATAAAGGCACGGCTCCTCCCCGGGGCTGGGACGCCCCCCACCCCGCCGGACGGCCCGGGCCTCCCCCTGCCCGCCCGCGGCCCTCACGTCCGCCGCCCAGCCCTCCTCCCCGCCCCCGGTGCACCCCGAGTCCTCCCTCTCTCAAGCTGCTTTCACCTGCTGTTCCCGCCGCGGGAATGCTGTTCCCTCCCTCCCTGCTTGTCATTCATCTCAGAGTTCCCTTTTGAGAACGTGCGGATCAAAAGAAAATTAGAAGACGCTCAGCCAATCAGAACGCGCGGATCCCATATGCATCCCGATTCAGACGGTTAAAAACCCCAACCCACCACCCTTGATCACATTTCATGAGACGGCTGCAAACCTGAACAATTGCCAGATATTTGATGACATTAAGAAATTACTATTAATGTTTTTAGATGTGATGATGGTATTGTGATTACATTTTTTAAAAATTAGCATTTATTTACATAAATAAAATTAGCCCACTTTCAGTGAAAATTCGATGAGTTTGGACAAATGTATGTAGTTGTGAAACCATGTGGCTACATTGTCTAAAAAGAGCTCTTTGTGGGCAAAATGTACAAACTTCCAGTTATCAAATAAATGTCATGGGGGTGGAAGGAACAGCTTGGTGACTATGATACTGTTATGCATATTTGAAAGTTACTAACAGAGTAGATCTTAAAAGTTCTCATCACAAGAAAAAGATTTTGTTACTATGTAGGGTGACAGATGTTCCTAGACTTACGATGGTGATCACTTGCAAAATATACAAATATTGAATAATTGTTGTACACTTGAAACTAGTATAAGGTCATATGTCAATTACATCTCAATAAAAAGATCCAATGAAATCAATCTTGCCAGGAAAAAAAGAATTCTTTGCTTTTAGGGGTGCGTGCTGAAATATTTACAGATGAAATAATACAGGAGGAAAATTTAATAAGGGAGGAAAAAATAACAGAGGAAGGGAGAGTGGGTGGAGACATGGATGCAACAAGCCAGGCGGTGAGCTGATTTGCTGAAATTGAGTGACAGCTACACAAGAGGTTCCTTCTACTGTTCTCAGGACTTTTGCTATGTTTAAATTTTCCATAATAAAAGTTTTTTAAAAAGTTTCTTTCTGGGAGAGGTCTCTCGTGACCACCCTTGCTAAGATGCACCCCCTTCCCGTCACCCCTGTTTGAAATTCTGTGATTTGGTCTTCCCAACCAGAATGTGGGCTCTGACAAAGCAGGGCCGCCCTCTGGCTTGTACACGCCTGGGTCCCAAAACCTGGCTGCCTGGAACCTAGTAGGCGCTCAAGAAATGCTTTTATGAGTGAATGAATGATGGAGGAATGAATGCTTTTGCTCTCGTTCACCACCACGTATAGGCCATGTTCTCTACCCCCAGCGCTGTGGGCAGCCACAGTTACAGAATCAAAGGGCCCCAGCTTCAAACCTCCGTATCCGGGTTGGGAAACTGAGGCCCAGAGAGGGGCAGACACTTGCCAGGAGTCTCACAGCTTGGCAGTAGAGGGGGTAGGGGGAGCCAAGCAGAGGGTCTTCTCTCCCTCCGCCCTGCCCCTCAGCACCCCGTCCTGGTTAAGGGGACTCTTGACCAGTGGTGCCCGGGCTGTGACGTCCATGTCCTCCTGCAGGACTCCTGTGGTTGCTGGCATGGAGGGCTCCCTGGCGGAGCGTGCGGCTGAGGAGCACTTCCACACAGTCACGCCTCTGCTGGAGAGCTGGGCGCTGTCGCAGGTGGTGGGCACGACCGTCTTCCTCAAGTGTGAGAATGTGCAGCCCACCGGCTCCTTCAAGATCCGGGGCATTGGGCATTTCTGCCAGGAGGTGAGGCCGTGTGATCAGAAGGGGAGAGGCGAGGTTGCGCAGGAGGGAGGGGAGGCGTGAGGGGTGTGGGGCGGATGGGGGCGAGGGCAGGAGGGGAGAGGTGAACAGGTGCAGAAGGGAAAGGAGAGCTGGGGGTGGGGGTGGGGTGGGCAGGGTTGCAGTGGCATGGGGAGGGTCCAACTGTGTCCCACACAGGCCTCCATGACGCCTGCTTGGTTAGCCCCCAACCCCATTCCTTCTTTTCCCAGGTGGCCAAGAAGGGATGCAGACACCTGGTGTGCGCCTCAGGTGACCCCACCCCTTTCTGCTCATGAGGGTCCTCAGGGCTGGGTGTGGGGAAGAAGAGCTGGCTGGAGCAGCAGTAGATGTCCAGGGCTCAGCCTCCTCATCAAGGTCATGGTCAGATGCCCACTTTGTGTGTCCCCTCCCAGCGTTCTTCCCATCATTCAGGACTCATGGTAGTAAGTGACAGAAACCCAATTCATACAAGTTTAAGTCATAGATGTCAAGAACTGAAAATTCTTGGGATAAGTGGCTTTCAGGCATGGCTGGATCTAGGACCTCTCCTCTATATCTCTCCTTCTCTTGGCTTCTCTTTCCTCTATACTAGCTTTATTCTCATACAGGCCTCATGGTAGAGGCCTCAAGATGGCCATCAGGAGTTCCAGGCTTGCCCCCTACCATCCTACCAACCCTAGTGAGAAGGGAGCACCCCTTCCTGATGGCTCTCCTCAATCCACGACTTGGTCTTTTTGGCCCACCTTGGGTCACGTATTGATCCCTGAATCAATCACGGGTCAGGGGATTAAGTTCTCCAGTTGACTCAGTCTAGATCGTGTGTCCACCTCTGGGCTAGGGGAGGGATTCAAAGGTGGGGCACAGGAGCACAGGAAGGAGTGGCCCCCAAAGGCCACTGGAGGGAGGGGGAAAGCGTGTCAACAGGCTAATGCAGCACTTCCCACTGCACCCCCTTCTACTTCCTCCACAGGGGGCAACGCGGGCATGGCTGCTGCTTATGCTGCTCGGAAGCTGGGCGTCCCCGCCACCATCGTGCTCCCCGAGGGCACCTCTCTGCAGGTCGTGAGGAGGCTGGAGGGGCAGGGGGCCGAGGTCCAGCTGACTGGAAAGGTAAGGACCCTGGGAAGGGGAAGCCGGCTGGAGTGGGCTGCTCCCCCTTCACCCCCGCTCCCCTGCGAGATTCTGTCCCCTCTTCCTTTGGATGAACTATGCCTGGGACCAGTCTTCCCCTGAGACGGCTGAGCTGAGGGGAGGGAGTGGGGTGTGATGTGTACTGAGGTTGGGGCCTCTCGACCTGCCTCTCCCCACGCTGAGAAGGCTGCCTCTGCATGAACCCGGGAGAAACGGGGAGCTGGTGGTTACCAGGAGCTTGTGTGTCTCCCGACAGCCTCACTAACTCTTGGTATTTCCCCTCTAAAATTTTTGCCATTCGATAAGACAAAAAGTATAAAGCAAGATGGTGGCAGCATCACTTCTCGTTCTGGTACCACCCAGCACGAAGGGTGCCCACTGACGGGATAGCACTTTCTTACCAAAGAATCATAGACACAAACATGGAATCCTTCTATGCTCCTGGAAAGAAGAAAAAAAGTCATCCTTGGAAAACAGATATTTAAAACCATCAAAATTAAAACTAAAAGCCATACCGTGGTACTTGAAAGATGGTCTCCAATACTTAGTGTATAGTTTCCTCTCCCCTCCCTCCTTCCTTCCTTCTGTCCTCTGTTTATTCACCCATTCAACCATCCTCCCACCCATCACCCTTTATCCCTTCCTTCCATCCATGCATCTATTCACCCTTCCATCATCCCAGTACCCTTTCTTCCTCCTTCTCTTCCTTCCTTCCTTCCTTCCTTCCTTCCTTTCTTCCATCCAACAGATATTCACTGAGCACATCCTATGTGCCTGCACTATGTTAGACAGAGCTAGGAATACAAAGAAAGTAAGTCATGGTCTCTGTTCTCAAGAAGCTCAAAGTCTTGTCGGGGAGACACCCAGGTAACAGATGCTGATAACAGAGCACGGAGATGCTGCGATGGAGGAAGCACAGGGCACTGAGGGGGAACAGAGAAGGCGTATTGTGTTCACCAGCTAGCGCTGCTAGGCAATGCTGCATAACAAACAGCCCCCAGATGTCAACGGCTTGTAGGAAACGTTCTCTCATCTTCCTTGCCCAGGGGCCACCTGGGGCCTGTTCTTTCTAGGTGAGTGGCAAGGGAAGTGAGAGGAGGCATGCAGTGCCTCATAAGGTCTTGGCTCAGAACCGTGACACTGTCACTTCTGCTATGTGCCATTGGCTAAAGCAAGTCACATGGCGAAGACCAATCTCAGTGGGGTGTGGAGTGTCCTCCCCCCTACTCTGTAGAGGAACAGCAAAGTCAGAGGGCAGAGGGCATGGCTGGAGGATTCTAGCCGGGGGAGGGGGAGAGCTGGGTGGTGGTCCAAACTCCCACGGGGCTGCACCCCAGACTTGGGGAGGGGATCCGTGAAAGGCTCCCTGAGAAGGAAGTGTCCCCTGAGTGGGGTCTTGAAGGAGAAATATGAGTCTTCCCAGTGGAGAAAAGGGAAAGAGTGCTCGTGGGAAGAGGAAAGAGGGAAATGCGTGGAGATGGGGTGAGCCTGGTGCATTCCGGCTGCAGCCCAGCGTCTGGCAGGATGGTGGGGAGAGGGGAGGCCGAGGAGGGCACAGTGCCCAGTCAGGCAGGGTGGCTGGTAGGTGAGGCCACGTGGGTTCCAACCTGCGGGCAGTGGGGAGCCAGAGAAGGATTTTGGGCAGCCGAGAGATGTGGCTGGATTTTGGCTCTGGCTGCAATGGATGGGAGGCATGTGGGGTTAGAGGCAGGGATCTTGGGTGGGGGCTGCTGGGGACCTCCAGGGGAGCGCCGGGGAGTCAAGGCTGCACAGCTTCAAACCTCATGTTTGTCTCAATAACTCGTGAGAATGGGGCCCATCTCTTCAGCTGGACGGGGCATTCCTCATGGGCGGGGACCACTGCTTTCTCTTCTCTGAGTCCCCCTGGCACAGGCCTGGGCGCAGAGTGGGCGCTGCGGGCTGCCCAAGGTCGGGCAAAGGCTCTCTCTGGCCCCCGTGTCACCCTACCCGTGGGAAAGGAGGCTGCTGTTTTCCATTCAGCTTCTGCTGAGATGGGATGGCGTGGGTCCCTCTGAAATGAAGCAGACCGTCAGAGAAGAATTGGGGTGCGTGTAGATTTTTGGGGGGGTGACTGCAGGAAATGTGAATAGGGGAGGGTGGAAATGAGTCAGGGAAGCGAAGAGAGCCCAGGAGGGGTGTGTGAAGGAGCAGGTCACCTCCGTGGGCCGCTGGTCAGTCCCCCGGGATCCTCTGTGCTACCGTGGAGAGCACGGCCCGGGGAGGGCCCAAGGGTCACTCTAGGGGGTCAGCTCCTTCACACTTGCTGTCCGCCTTGCCCACTGGCCAGCAAGTCCCCTAGCCAGAGAATGCCCCACAGGTGACCCTGGGGTGGGGTGCAGGGACATGGACCTCTGCCAAGATGCCAAGCCAGTGAGAAAGAAGACAGGACCTCAAGTAGTCGGGTCTGTCGAGATGGGGGCTGTCCCTCTGGCTGCCTAAGCCCCACTGCAGGCCACCACCTGGGCCATCGCTGGTTTTCACGGAGAGGATCTGTAGTGGTCAAGGTGCTATTTGCGGCTGTGATTTAAGGGGGCTTCTCCCCTGCCGCTTGGTTAGCAGTGGAAGACGCCTCGCCCCTCCCCCAGCAGCTCAGGATGGGGGGCTCCGTCCTCACACAGCCTGGCAGCCAGGCGCGGCCCGTGGGGATTGTGGAAAGCACACGGCAGCCCTGGGTCCACCCAGAAGCCACTGCACTTGTCCCTGAGGCCGAGGGGCCCGTGCTAGCTCTGGCCTCACCCTCGGGGTCCTCCCCAGCCCACCGGGCCCTGGAGCCGTCCAGGAGACCGCAGGCTCTGCTCCAGCCTCCAAGCAGGCCAACTCTGGGGTCTTCTGAGGCCCTTGGTTTCTCTTTAGGTCTGGGACGAGGCCAATCTGAGGGCACTAGAGTTGGCCAGAAGGGACGGCTGGGAGAACGTCTCCCCGTTTGACCACCCTCTGATATGGTAAGGCTGGTGCCCTCCCCCATGGAGCTCAGAGCTGAGACCCTTGTGGAGCCAGGGTCCTCCCATTAGACAGAAGGGGAAACTGAGGGCCAGAGAGAAGAGGCTTTGAAGCCAGATACACCTGGGTTCAGACCTCACTTCCGCCACTTGCAAGTTGCGTGATTTCATGCAAAGCATCTCACCACCCCATGCCTCAGTTTCCACATATGTTAAATGGAAATGCAAATAATTCATCCCCTTTATTGAGTGTGTACTTTGGGGCACATCGAATCCATTTCTTCCTTCCCGAGGCCCTAGAGGTGGGTGTTTTATGCCCTTTTTACAGGTGAGGAAACTGAGGCACAAAGGGGTCAAGCAGCTTGCCCAAGATGACACAGCTAGTAAGTGACAGAGACATTAAGTCCCAGGCCCAGGACTTGAGTGAGGCTGGTTCTGAGTGGTACGGTGGTCCCCTCTGAACCACACACACCCACGACTGCTGCCTCTTCCCGTAGTTACAGAGGACATTCGATGGGACAATGTCTGAGAAAGTGCCTGGGAGAGTGAGGGGGGAGGAGAGAGTGGGTGAGTGACTAAGTGGAATGGATGAACACTGAATGAACCCAGTGTGGCTCAGCCACCCACTCTCCCCTTGCTGTGGGTGGGGCGGGGATGGTGACAAGGGCAGTTTGTGTATCTGGGAGCCTTTGGGACTCCGGGCTTCCCTCACCTGCTTTCCTCCCGCTCCTCTCCAGGGAAGGCCATGCCAGCCTGGTGCGGGAGCTGAAGGCAGCGCTGGGGACCCCGCCAGGAGCCCTGGTGCTGTCGGTGGGGGGTGGGGGGCTCCTGGTTGGGGTGTTGGATGGCCTGGCACAGGTGGGCTGGCAGCACGTGCCCGTCATTGCCATGGAGACCCGAGGGGCCCACTGTTTCAATGCTGCCGTCGAGGCGGGCAGGCTAGTCACGCTGCCGGACATCACCAGGTAGGTGAGGCTGGGGGCATTTGGGGGACTGGAGGGTGGGGATGTTGCTGCCCGAGGGCCTCCCAGGCCCAACCAGTGTGGGTGAGGAGCACCCAAGAGGGTCTCCTTCCCCTGGGACTCCAGCTGTAGTAACATGGGTCTAAGTTAGAAGGCGGTGCTGAAAAAGTAGATGAAGGATGTGGTTCATTTGAGCCTCATCAATTAATAAAACAAACTTTCATTGGTCTGGATCATTACAAAAGCAATCTGAGTGTGTTGCAGATAAGTTAGAAAATGTAGGCAAGCAATAAGCAACAGAAAACAAAATGGCACCCTCAATTCCACCGCCCAAAGATGAGCAATGGGTCGCATTGTTCCCAGTCTTTGTTTTTTCCCCCCGTGCGTGCATAGTTATATACAAGTGAAAGGTGCCTGGCACACAGTAGGTGCTCAATAAATGTCTGTGACATGATGAATGAATTGATTATGTATTTTTAAAAGTTGCGATTATATCCTTCACACAGTTCCATAACCTCTATTTTTCTAGTTCGTATTATAGATCATAAACATAGTTTCATTTTTTCTGCAACATCATGAGAGAACATTTTCCTCATTGCTTTTTGTAACTGATCTTAATTCAACTGGGCAAAAGTTGTTACAAACAAACGACTGAACAGAGAGTGGTCCAGCCTCCAGACCCGCCTCATCTTGTATCCTTCATGGCCGCCAGCACCACCATCATCACAGATGCTGTGTTAGTTTCCTAAGGCTGCCATAGAAATGACCACAAACGAGGTGGCTTGCGACAACAGAGATTAATTTTTTCCCAGTCCGGGAAGCTCTAAATCTGAAATCTGGGTGTCAGTAGAGCCGCGCCCCCTCGGAGGCTCCAGGGGAGAATCCTTCCTTGCTCTCCTGGCTTCTCGTGGTTATCAGCAATCCTTGGCTTTCCTTGGCTTGTAGCTACATCCCTCTGCCTCTGTCTTCACTTGGCCTTCTCTTCTGTGTGTCTGTCCTCTTATAAGGACACCAGTCATTGGATTCATCGTCCACCCCAATCCAGTAGGACCTTAAATAAATAACACCTGTAAGGACCCTATTTCCCAATAAAGTCATGTTCTGACTCATTCTGAGCCGGTTCCTTGCCCTCTCTGAGCTTAGGTTTCCTCACCTATAGAATGGAACTCTTAAGTTGCCAGCTCAAAAGGTGGTTGCGAGGATTAAAACAGGAAACCCATGCATCTGGCCCCTTGTAAACATTCAATCAATATTCGCCATAGCACAGACGTGATAAATAGTTATTAATGAATCAAATGAAAAAGAATCCTTTTCCATGATGGCTTTCTGGGGTCTGTGCGAGGAGCGGCAGGGTCAGGGTCGTACAGTCAGAAAGTGATGAGCGTTGGTCTGTCATTCATGGGACACATGAGTTTGAGCGTGTCCTCTGTGAGCCCCCGCCCATCACCAGACAGGAGGGCAGCCCAGGGCTGGGGAGAGCTGGGTCCGCGTGGGGCCTCCTGACTCCCCAGCTTTCCCCCCGCAACCCCGCCCTCCCCGCCCCCGCCCCTCCTCCAGTGTGGCCAAGTCCCTGGGGGCCAAGACGGTGCTCGCGCGGGCCCTGGAGTGCACGAAGGAGTTTGAGATCTTCTCCGAGGTGGTGGAGGACGTGGAGGCTGTGAGTGCCGTGCAGAGGTTCCTGGGTGAGTGAGCGCTGCCCCAGCCCCTCCCCGGGCCCGAGTCCCTGCGCCCTGTAGCGAGAGCCTGCTCTCCCCTGTCTGTGTCTTCAGCGCCTGTGGCAGGGCTGGCCACGCAGTCCTTACGCAATGAGTGCACGTTGAGTCGATGGAAGGGGTGAGGGTGAGGAAGAGCGTGCCGTGCTGTGTCCATCCCCCAGACTCTGTGCATGCGCTTCTTCCCCGGCCCTGCTCCCTGTGGCCTTGTTGTGACTCAAGGCTGCTCAGCCTCACCGCACCTCCTCCAGGAAGCCTCTTCTGATCTCCCGCCCCCACCCTGCATAGGTGGGAGACTCCTATGCACCAATCCCATAACGGCCTGGTTCTTACCCACCTCCATCACTAGACTGTGACCTCCATGAGAGTGGGAGCTGGTGTGTCTTGTTTGCTCTCATGTCCCCGGGGTCCTGCTAGCATGGGGCCTGGCAGGGAATGGGCACTCGATAAATATTTGTTGAGTGAATGGATGAATGTATGAGTGAGTGGAAAGGTAGATAATGGATAAGAGATGGGCCCACTGATTAATGGACACATTGATGGACAGACAGACAGGCAAATGATGGATAGGGGATGGATGGATGGATACACTGATTGATTGATACACTGATGGGTGGACAGACAGACAGGCAAATGATGGATAGGGGATGGATGGATGAATGGATGGATGGATGGATGGATGGATACGTTGACTGATGGATACACTGATGGATGGACAGACAGACAGGCAAATGATGGATAGGGGAATGGATGGATGGATAGAGGGATGAAAGGTGGATGGATGGAGGGATGGATGGAGAGAGAGTCAGACACATAATGGATTGTGAGACGGGTGGACAGAGGGCAGGCTGGCTGGCTGCTTCACGGATTTGCACTGCCCAGAGCCTGCGGAGCACTAACCAGCGTCCCTCCCTTCTGTGCTCTCCTCCTCCCCCACCCCCCTGCTCTGGGCAGATGACGAGCGTATGCTGGTGGAGCCTGCCTGCGGGGCAGCCTTGGCTGCCATCTACTCAGGCCTCCTGCAGAGGCTCCAGGCCGAGGGCCGCCTGCGCCCCTCCCTGGCCTCGGTCGTGGTCATCGTGTGTGGAGGCAACAGCATTGATAGCCGAGAGCTGCAGGCTCTGAAAGCTCAGCTGGGTCAGAGCTGAGGGCTCCTGGTCTGGGCTGGAAACCCCTATGGCCAGCTGAGGGGCCCCCAGGCTGGCGGATGGCTGTGGAAGCTGCCCTGTGCCCTGTGCTGGCCACCTCCTGAAGGAAGGCCTCCTGAACTGCTCCCTGTGGCACCCCCCCGCCCCACCCCATAGCCCTGGCCAATAAACACTTTCTGAGTTGAATCTGTGACTCTGGTGGGTCCAGGGTTCCCACCTCCTTGAGCTCATGGGAGGCACACAGCAGCCCTGAAGCTGGCACTGTGATGAAGCCACTCTTTCTGTGTCACACGACTTGGGCAACAAAGCCAAGGATTCAAAACCCTGGTCTCTGAGGGAATCCAGCCGTGCTGAGCTCCTAGCAGGGCTTCCCTTACCTGGGGACCAGGTCAGAAAGGAGGAGGGATGTCCTGTCACTTTACAGGCTGGGGCAGGTCGGGGACAGTATCACCAGTTTTTATCAAGAGCTTGTTATGTGCCATAAACTTCTAAGATCTTCTCTTCACATTTCCTTCAACATTCACAAGGGCACCATGAAGTAGCAACCATTATTATCACCCCTGTTCTACAGAAGGGTAAACTGAGGCACGGGAGTGTTACTTAACCCGCACGAAGTCGCGTCGCTGGAATGTGACCCGGGTGGGTTCAAACCTGAGGCTTTAATATGACTCTGTATTTCTTGGACCCCCACATCGGTCGGGACACACCTGTGGGGCACAGGGAGTGTGGGTGGTGGTCCTGGAGTCCGGCACCTGCCGCCTCGGGAAGGATCTCAGGAACTGGAGGGAAAATGAGAATCTCCTGGGGCCACCAGAGGGCAGCAGAGCGTCTCCGATGGGAAGCCGGGCGCAGCGCCGGGAGGCCTGCCTGGGCCCTGGGGTCTTCCTGATTCCACCCTGAGTGGCACCCTCTCCGAGCTGGGGGTGCTGGGGTCCCAGAGGAGACTAGGGCCCACAAGGTCTTGGCATGGGGGGCCCTCTCCAACCCCTCACAGCCCTGCAGGAAACAAGGCTCAGAGAGTGTGGGGCCGCCCGGGGTCAGAAGGCGGCTGCTGCGCCCTACCGAGGGGCTGCCTCCTGAGGGCTGTGTGACCTTGGGCAGGTGCCCTCCCCTCTCTGGGCTTCAGGTCGCACCTCTGTGCTGGAGGAGGCCCTCTTGCTGCTTCCTACCTTCTTTCCTTTGCCCCGGCTGTTCCCTCCACCAGGGCCTCCTCCTCTTCTGAAGAGGAGGGTTGGAGAGCAGCAAGGACCTCTTTCTGCTTCTCCCACTGCCTCGGTCTCCTTCTCTGAGCCCAGACACGGCCCTCCACGGCCAGGGTTGCCCCCTCCAGGACCCAGCCCTATGTCCCTGAGTCAGGCTGTGAGTTCCCCAGAACAGAGGAGACCCTGAGAGCCCCAGAGCTGGATTCAGCCACACCTGAGCCCGAACTCTGTTCCTCCTCAGTGGCCTGGTGACCTCAGGCCAGGGATGCTCCCTTCCAGAGCCTCGGTGTCCCCATCTTAAAAGGGATTGTTTGCGCGTTATTGCTACAGACCTGGCATGTGTGGTCTTTCAGTAAGTGTGAGCCCTTACCGTCTCCCGAGCGTTCCCACCCCAACCATGAGGGGTGGGGAGGAACTAGCATTTATGCATGCATTGTACCTACTGTGTGCTATGGGCCTTAGCAGTCATTTCATCGAATCCTGTAATAACCCACACTGTGCCATCGGCACATTTTCCTCATTTTACAAATGAGGAAACTGAGGCACAGAGCCATGGAGCCACTTACTCCAGGTCACACAGCTGGACTGGAGCCTGATATGTGAAGACCTGAGGCTTGTGCCTCTGAGCACTGCTGTGCTCACACTTCCTTTCCTTTGCTGAAGCTCTGTGCCCTGTCTGCGCAGCCCTCCACGCTTCTAAGTCCTACCCATTCTGCCAAGCCCAGTGTGAGGGCGGCCTCCTCCCTGGAACCTCCTGGGATTGATTCAGCCAGCGATGCCGCCCCCACTCCCCCTGTGCTCCTGCAGGCGAGGGGCCGAGCTCACCTCCCTGCCAGGTGCTCTGCCTCCCGGGCAGGCCTCAGCCCATGGCCTCTCTCCTGGGAGACTTGTCAGCTGCTCTTGGCTCCTTTCCTGGTCCCGGGAGCCTGGCGATAAGAAGCCGAGGGGCCTGTTGACTCCGTCCAGATAACGCACGTCGCAGGCCTTCGTGTCGTCCTTCCTGGTTGACACCCGAGGAACGCCGAGGGCAGGGTGGAGGCGCAGGGAGAGAGCGAGGCCGTGGCTCCCTGAAGCTGAGGCCGGGGTTGTTAGGAGCTGAAGTCGCAGGAGGGGCCCTGGAGCAGAGACACCTGCCTTCCTATCTCGGCCTCCGGACCGCTTGCTGAGGGACACGAGGAGCCTGCAGGGTGGGTCCTGGGAGCAGAAGCTTCTGTCTTGGTCCAGGGCCCCACAGAGAGCACCGCAAACAGGGCCGCCAGGAGTGTGCACCTGCTCAAGACACACCAGCCTCCCCCTCACCCCCAACTGGGGTCCCTCTCCTGGGGTGGGGGGCCCCTTTGGTTTCCTGTGGGTTCTAGCGGCTGAGGCTTCCTTGGTCCCCTCATGGCTGACTCTAATGCCCCTGCCTCCGGAGGCTCACCTCCACCTAGTCCTCACTCCAGCCTTAAGCCAAAGGTGACACGGAAGCTTAGAACCCAGCCTTTGGCCAGCATGGTAGGTATCCTTACCCCAGAGCTGGCCCCAGGCAAGGCGGGGCGTGGAGAGCAGGGACCAGGGTCATGCCACTGCTGATTCCCCCTCCCCAGCCTGGACAAGAGCCCAGTACAGGGCGTGCACGTGCCCCAGTACCTGCAGAGAAGGGTCTGAGCCTCAGGCTGGGGATGTGATGGCTCAGGCTGGCTTTGTATCTCAGGGGGGTCCGTGTGGTTGTGTGTGCAGCTGCGTACTCGTGTACTTGCATGCATGCATGCATGTTTGTGTTCATGCGTGTGCATGTGGGAGAGCACACACATGCTTTTGTATGTACAAGAGAGTACACGCAATTAATTGAGGGTTATTTGATGTCCCTCAAATTGTGTGGTGCTTCACATTTTTGCATTTGGGACTTATAATCCAGTCACTAGTGAGACATCAAACTTCGATGTCTGTCGTGAAGCAGCTTGGGGACTAGACATTAGGGAGTAGTGGGGATTGGAGCAAACTGGAGAGCTCATGCTCTGTCTAAAGGAGGCAGTCACTGCTCAAGTCCATCCACCTGCAGGCCCTGCATAACAGATCTCCCAATTTCTTAGTGTTAGCTCAAATTCAAAGCAATTTTGGAATTGCCATATGCTCCGTTTGTCCACATATTCATACAAAGGCTCTGAACAGGTCCTGCAAGAAAGTTACTTCCTTGAAGCCAGGGGAGAATCACGTGACTGCCAGTCTGAGCCAATCCAAGCTCCTGGGTGGGCTCGGGAGCTGAGCTGTCCAATCAGAGCAGCTCTCAGGACTTCAGCTGGAAATTGGGAGGCACCCGTGGACTGTCCACATGTGCAAGCCAACAGTTCCTTCTTCTTAAGCTTGGATTTCTGTCATTTGAGGGCGGCAGCATCCTGACTGACGATGTATGCATTTAATCCACATCTCTTGAATTAAATCGACTGGCTTTGAGCTGCCTAAGATTGAGCCTTATCTGGGGTTGGCCCTCAGCAAAAACGAGGGCCATCTGGGCAGCGTGTTGCTCTGCCTCCCTTCGGATCCACTTTTTCTTCTTGCTCCCAGGCCTGGGAGCACATGAGGACCGCCTTGACAAGAAGAGCAAGACAGAACCCGAGGTGGTGTGGCTGACAAGGTGGGGGCAGTATTTTATGAAGCCAGGAGGATGTCTCAGATCATAGTAGGGAGGAGCCTCATAGCGAAGTGACTGGGGTGGTGGGGGCTGCGGCTGGCGGAACCCAGAGACAGTTCCAGCATCGAGACTCAAGCCCTGTAGGAAGGCAGTGGCCTAAGTTTCCATCCGCTCTTAGGGGTGTGGCATCGGCCTCCCTCTGCCTTAGATCCTCATGCCCACCCTTCCTGGGAGGCTTGGCAGGGCTGTTAGCTGATGGCATTGGGGTGCTGAGGCCCAGAGAGAGGCAGCTGCTGACTCCAGAACACCTGGGGTGAGGGCCCAAGGATCTTCGTGCTGCCCCGGTGTGGCGCTTTGTTCTCACAAGGATGTAGAATCCGCTTATTGGGGACCCCAACGTCCAGGGCTTTTTGGGGCAGACCAGGCACTCAGTGTCCCATAGAGAGGAGTATGGGGGACCCACCCCAGACCCACATAGTGGTCCCATTACTTTGTGTTCCTGGCTCATTTCAGAATGAATGAATGAATGAGTGAGTGAATATATCAGTTAGGATTAGGTTCAGCTTTACAATTCAGGGAAACACAAAATAAATGGCTTAAATAAGATACAAGTTTATTTCTCTTTCACTTAAAAGTCTGGAATTAGGTGATTCAGGGCTGGTATAGGACCCATGTGTCAAGGACCCAGGCTCCTTTGCTCCGGTTATTCAGCTGTAGATGGATTCCATTCCAACCGTCACCTTAGGGTCCCAGATGGATGCTGAGGGGCCAGCCGTTATATCCTCATTCCAGCCAGCAGCAAGGAGGAAGGGATGAAGAAAGACACACCCCTTCTCTTTAAGGACATTTCCTGTAACTGACATACACTACTTCTGCTCATAGCCAATTGGTCAGAACTTAGTCACACGTCATAGCCAGCTGCAAGGACGGCTGGGAAACATAGTCTTTATAACAGGCAGCCATATGCCCAGCTACAATCAGAGGTTCTGTTATAGAGAAAGAAGAATAAAACAGATCTTAAGGGCTGACAAGAAGTCTTTGGCATCCAGAATAAATGTGTGAGTGTATAGCTTAAGCTGCTATAATGAAAAGACCCAAAACCATAGTGTTAGTTCAAGGAAGGTAGACAGTTCTGCTCCACTAGGTCATAGGGGGACCCAGTTTCCTTCTATCCTATTGTTCCACCAGCCCTTAAAATATTGTCCTCACCCACATGGTCAAAATTGGTTCATAATAACCAAGGCTGCAGTAAGCGGAAAGAGGAAGTGGAGGGTGAGAAGTTTCCTCTTTAAGGGTATCACTTGGATGTGGCACACTTTCCTTCTGCTCACAGCCCATTGGCCAAGACTTAACCACAGGATGCGCCTAGCTGC